TTAGGTGGAAGTGCTATTGTATGTGCTACTGATAAGCATTTAAATACAGTATATTTATATTAATAAAATTTGAAAAATATAAATGCGCGATATTGATGCTGTCAATTATTGCCAATTGTAGTAATTTGCACGACTTTTTCGGTTTATCAAGATATTTAGTAGCTCAGTAAGCAAAAACGTGTGTTCTTAAAAAACAGCATGATAATATAGCTATTTAATTTCGAAAGGCAACATAAAGGATGCATTCTTTTATATTGTTTATTATTATATTATTGTCTTTGACATGCCTATCAGTAGCACATACAATAGCACTTCCACCTAAAAGTAAAGAGTGCTTTTTCGAAGATTTGCGTGAGGGCGATAAAATGTTTCTGACCTTTCAGATTGACAAAGACGAGCTCTTAGATGTTGAATTCAAGGTAAACGTTTAAATGATACCTATGAGTCATTATATGGACAAACAAAAAAATTCGGAATATTTCTTCTAAATTTAGATAACTACATTTCTAGCTTTACGATCCCTCCGATACACTTCTAATTGATTCCGATAAACAATCTACAGGAACGTTCACTTTTTTTGCAAATTCCGATGGAAGATATACCTATTGTTTTGATAATGCTTATGCTGCTACTGAGAAAACAGTTAGTTTTACTGCACATGGAGGTCCTGCTTATCTTGACAAAAGTAAGTTGATCATCGTATGTTAGTTTGCCATTATATTTAAGATTTGCAAAGGAATTAAGCATTCAACATGAAAAATAGCACTCCTCCATCCTTTAACAGAGGAAATCCGCAAACTTGCTGAGGGTGTTGCTGCCATTAGGACTGAGCAAGATTATATAATAATACGAGAAAAAAGACATAGATATAGTATGTATATTGTTGATTTTGATTACTATGTATATGCATTGAGCTCTTATTTACCGATTCTATGTTCATTAGCTGCTGAAAGTACGAATGATCGTGTCAAGTGGTGGTCAATCTTTCAATGTATTATGCTTATTGCTTTGTGCTTTTGGCAAGTAAATTACTTGTTGCGATTCTTCGAAGTTAAACGTATGGTATAACATGATAGTTATTTATATTACTATTAGAAAGGGCGTTGGGTTACAAGTTAATTAATATACATTGCATATAAATAACATCCTCCGATATACCTGTATCATCTACATTTATATAATAGATTCTTTTAACTATTCTGTATTAATAGTTAGTGGTTAATTATAGAATAATAATACCAGCATCGTTTCGAAGAGAAATGTTACAACCATTTTTTCTTAAAAGAACTATATAATATTTCGTTAACCAAATAAAAGGGACTTTCAAAAATAAATTTAACATCATAAATGTTATTGTTTTTTCAAAATAATAAAGAAAATCTGTAATAAATAAAATGGTATTAAAAAAAAAAAAAGCAAATCATGTTATTAAAGAAATTAATTAAAATATAAAAAATTAAATACAAATCCTCTAGTTTCATACATTAAATAAAATTCCTTAAACCCAAGCTTATGCGCAATTATACGAAGTTGACTGAATAACTTTAATTGTATATAATCTTATTTTTTCAATATTTTTTTATTATTAAATTGTTAAAAATTTTTATAACAATTATTTAAACCTAGAAATCGTAAATTTAAAACTTTAAATTAAAAAATGTGATTTATTTTTTAGACAATATCAAATTGATATAGATATATAGTATATAATAAACATAAATATATTACTCACTATTACTTCTCGTTAATAAATAATTACTGGCAAATTGAAATTAACGAATGAATCCTTTATAATGCCAAAACTAAATCCTCGGGGTAAATTTTAGAATGACTGGTGTAATCCGTGCGTTTTTCGGAGCATTCAATTTATGCAGAAATAATTAAATCTCGAATGGTTCTCATTTCTTATATTTATTACGGTAATGGCAAGTCATCTCGGTTGCCTACGAACCTATAATGACAACAAATAATCTCCTTCTCGCAAACCCAAACCCAACCCGATATATAATTGTAAGATTTCTGCGGCCATTTCCTGACTGCCCCGGACGCAGCAAGAATCCACAATAAGTCCACCCTTAAATTAAGGATATCATTCCAAATTGCGGCACGCAGTGAAAATATTTAAACCGATATCAATTTGTCGAAACATTTATTAAAAATATTAAAAATCATAAATTATGGGATTCTTACATAAGCTGCATCTTTCAAATATCACGTGAAACAAATTATTATTATTATTTTTTTACTGTTATAATAGATTTTTTAAAAAACGAGCATTTAAAAAGTGTATATACAGTATTTAGAAAGAAACTTTTATTAAAAGTTTTATAGTATATACTTGGGATCAGGTTTAACTGTACATTTAGAAATATATATATATATATATATGTATGTATTTAAGAGAGTTCTTTGTATTTTTAATATTATTTAAATTTTATTTAAAAATAAAATATTAAATTTGTATTATTATTATTTTATTTATTTATTTTGTATAATGAAATATATATAGTATGTTGTAAAACTTTTTGAAATTTTTAAAATTTTAATTAATAGTAAATTAAAAATAAAAAAATATTTTTTTATAAAAAAGATATAATAATAATAATATTATTAACCAATTTTTAGATTTATTTTATTTAAATTTACAAAGTTATAAAATTTTATATTTTATTTTTAATATTAGAAAATTTTTTTTGAAAATTTAAAAATTTAAAAATTAAAAATTATATGAAAAATTTTTTTTAAAAATAAAAAATCTATAGATTAAATTAACAAATTTTTAAATTTATTGAATTAAAATTTATAAAATTTAATTTTTTTTTTTTTGAGTAGATAAATATCATTTTTTTATTTATTTATATATTACAAGGTATATATTTAAAAGAAACAATATTTCTTATATGCAAATTGCAATAAGTTTAATGTTAACTGCTTATAATAATTATTTAACTTTTATTAAAAAAGAAATTTTAAAATTAATATATTAATCAAATAATGCCAAGCAGCTATATATACCTACTTAAAGCTGTTTTGAAAAATAATGTTATGATAATTTGAAATAAGATTAAAAATACATAATAAAAAGTTAAGATTGTTTTGAATAAATGTTTTTGCAACTAGTAAAGAGATATTGATTGTTATATTATTGTTTTAAAAATTTGAACTAATATTATTATAAAAAGTATATTGGTTTTTGAAGTATTGGTACTAGAGTTATGATTATACTTACTATTTTTGCTGACTTTATTATTATTTGTTTTTATTGTTTTGTTTCATTTGATATCAATAAATAGTGAAGTATTTGTTATACTATAATAGGATTTTCATATAAGATTGTAAAACATTGTAAAAGTTTTAATAAATGCTTTAATTCAGTTATGAATGTTGGTTGTAGAGAATATGTTTGCAGTAATTTCATATACTAATTCTATTATTTGTTATATGTTGGAAATTGGATAGTTGCTATTATCTGAATAAAGAATTAAGTTAATTAAACTAATAATTTGCTTGACTTCTTCTTTTGCTTTAGAGCAATCAAAAATATAAAAGATAGTTTTCAATCAAAAACTGCATTTAAAAAAATATGGATCTCTGTAATATTTAGGATATAGATTTGGAAAAATTCTTATATAGGATGGATACCCAAAAGTAGTTTGATTCTAAATATTGCCAAATCACTATAATTGTTATTATGAAGTACTTTTATATATTTGTTGGATAAATTAATTATTTTGAGATTAATGGTGTTATAAGATTGATTAAGTATTTTAAGTATAAAAAAGCTCTTATAGATTATATAGGATTTGATGATACTGATGATTTTCTTGTACCATTTTAAATAACTTTTCAAGTCTGCATGGTTTATAATAGGATTTTCTATAAAATATAGAAGTGGATTGTTTTATTATATATAGTTGATAGTTCTTGGTTTGGATTTAGATTTGGCAAGATTGAAGTTAATAAATTTTTGTGTTGCCATATGTTTGATTTTTAATATTAAAGCAGTAAAATTGATTTTTGTTTGTTTTTTAGAAAAGTTAGAAGAGGTTTAAATTATATTTTTGTTGTTTTTAATTTCAATAGTACACTGGACAGTGTACTATTGTAGGATTTCATAAATAATACAAAGCATATTATCTGTTAATAGTCTTGAATTTGTTATTGTAATTTTGTTATTATTAACAATTATATTTTGTTTGACAAGTTGAATATAGTATAAATTGTATTGGCTAATTGCTTGAAGTGGTAAGAGAGATAATGAAGCAAGTATAATATTTACTAAATGAAAAGTGTGTTCATTTTTGGATAAAAAGATTGCTAGTTCTTTTATGATATTACATAAGTAATACTTGAAGTTGGATAAGATTTTAATAATTATTTAAAGTAATGAGGCATTAGTACTGAAGAAGATTAATAAGCAAAAGTTATTAGAAGATCAATCTAGAGAACAGCTATAACACTTATTAAGATTGTTGTTAGAGTTTATTATATAGTGTTTGCCTTTTAAAGATATATTCTCATATATATCTAAGCATCTTCTATATGTTTTAACAAAAGAGTTAATATTGTAAAGAAACCAAAAAAATGATTTTGAGTTTGAAATAGGCCTATAGGATCTCAGATGATTATTATTATTGAAGTTTTTAAACCAGATTAATTCTGGACTACACTATACAATATTAGTATAAAAAATGATTTGTGATCAAGATAATTTGAGAAGACTGTTGAATTGTATAAATTGAGTAGTAAATTTAATATTGAAAGCATTTAATATTTTAATTGCTAATTCTTTGAGCTAAGATGACATATTTTTAAAAAGAAGACCAATACTATTATGGACATTTTTAAGATAAAAGGAACAGTTTGAAAGACAAATCTGGATTTTTAAATTTTATGCAGCTTTGGCTACATATAATATTCAGTTGTCTTGATTGAATTTGTTTGGATTACAAATTAAACAAAACTAGATCACATTTTTTTTCTGAATGGATTGAATAGTTTATATCAAAAAATTAATCAAAATAAGATAGTTAACAATGTATAATTGTTATAAATCAATTATTAGACTTCAATTAACATTTGAAAATATAAGTATTTGAATTTTTATTAATTTAATATTAAATAAAAAAAAAACTCTTTCCCGCAAATCTCAAAATTCCTAAAAATTTCCTTTTTTGGTAACTCCTAAAAAACACTCCAAAGAAACATCCAAGAAAAACACTCAAAGAAAGACTCACAATACTCCTTTAAAAACAAAGAAGAACATAAACAACAGATATACTTTGGATTCAAAAAGTATATTAACCCTTTTCTTTAATTTTTTAGGAAAACATATAGACAGATATTTGTAATTCTTTACTGGGAAAGAAGAAAGAACAAGCAATACAATTCACAGTAAAGATAAAAAGAGAAAGTCAGCACTGTACTTCACAAGCTGCTAGCCAGTCGTGTACCAGGTTAAATACCTCCCTAGACACCAGCAGGATCTTACACTAGCCAGATTACACCCGGTAAACCAGGCAACCTCGCACACCAGCATAAAAACAGAAGGGTCTCAAGACTTTCTCAACACTGTAATTAAAAGAAAAGTACAGATCTCAAAAATTTTCAATAATAAACAACAACTGTTACACGACCAAATTTTTTGGAGACAAAAAACCAGAAGCAGTTCACCCTCTCCAAAGGATCTATAGCAACGTGAACACATACTTTTCCAAAAACCAAACAATAACAACAACAAACAAACAAGCAAGCGAATCCCAGAACTGAACACGTGCTTGAAATAATACCAGATCCTCCCAAAGCTGCTCACCTCAAAAAGCAAGATCCACAGTAACACGAACGCAAAAACATCACAAATCAAGCAATAAAGCACAACCAGGCTTATAAGCATTACCACGTTTCAGACCTCATAGAAACATGTGTCTTTTGCAAATCCTCAGACCGAAAGTAACAGCTACATGCATACAATAAGCCTCCTTAAGGACAATCACATTATGCAATAAGCTGTTCTAAGCAAATCA